CAATGAATCAGTCTTGAGCCCAAGAGACATATTCTTAAACTCTTCATGCCTCAAATCTGTAAACTCGTTCAAACCGAGCCAGTAGTTATGGATGTTCTTATTCCTCTCGTCGATGTGTTTAAGGTTGTCTTTGAAAATCTCGAACCTGTGCAATTTCTCTTCAATGCTTTCATAGTTCTTACTGTGTTTCTCAATCCATGATTCGAAGAGATAAATGAGACTATCAATGCTCTTCAAATCATCCGGGGAATAACCCACAATTGAGAAATCGCGAGAAGATGCTTTGCAGGTAGAGAACAGCAAGAGACATGCAAGAAACAATATCATTAAAAAGGAAGGGAGAGCCATTAATTTATAGAAATCAGAAGGAAAGAAATATTGATGGATGAAGATGGGAAACAAGGAAGCCAATGAGGGATTTATATAGGTTCCCTATGGTGTGTTTCTTACAAGTAAAGTGGATGGATGGAATGTACATCAGTTCTATACTGAAACTTTAAGAATGGTTCTTTTGTTAGGCTTCAAATCAAAGCATGTCCCAAGTCAAATATCTTGATGATACCATACATGACGAATGCTATGAATTGCTAGACTATGGGATACCATGAGTTATGAAATTTAAACCCTTTCTGATATAGCTAAAAATCAATCTTTTAGTAGATTTCGATAAAAATTGATGAAATATACGGTTGAAAAGTTGTGGATCCATGAGATGTGCGATTACGAGTAAATTTTGACTTTGACTTAAACTTTTAGCAAGAGTAAAATCCACACCAAACAAGGACTTCAGTCCCATCGGGTATGTATATATGGAAGACTAGTCAACTAAATTAGTTAGTGTGACAAACTTGTTAGAATTTGTACTAAGCTAATTCGAAAGAAAATAATTTTGTATGACCTTTTAGAGGGGTGTCCGGCTTTAGATATCTAGCTGTGAGCAAGTAAGAATCTTTGGAAAACTTAAAGAACGATGATATTAGAACTCCTCGAGTTTCTTCAGGATGAATCAGGAGGCTGTTTACAGCTAGATCCCTGCGAGGAGTAGAGTTGTAGAGCATGTTTGGCTAAGCTTAAAATTCAATTAAAATTGAAATTATAGCCGTTATTGGGTCTATTAGAATCCCACTTTGTTTGGGAAAATATAAATGATCCACTTAATAAGGTGAGGGCAATCCTCCTCTAATAAGCCGGTTTTATTAGGTGGAGTTGGGCCCAATATTCCTAACATGGTATC